GTGTGTCTCATTATCACACCGCTGTCACCAAAGCAGCAAAGTGGGCGGAGCTGTGATCTGCAGCTAAAACAACTCAGTCAAAAACTAACGACGTAAATCTGCTGAAGCATGAAGCATCAGGAGCTGTGATGTGGAAACTGCTGGATTCAGGTCAAAGGTCACACGAAGCAGGTGATAAACATGAAACGAACATTTCTCCTCATTGAGGGCCAAAGCAGCGCGCCAAATATTTCCATCGTTATTTTAAGGTGGGACGTTTGCAGAAACTGTTTGTGCTTCAGTAAACTTGTCGGTCACGTCCTGCAGATCACAGATAACAAAACACCAGGAAACATCCTGCTGAACCTGCAGCGTCAACCAGGAAGCAGCTGATCGTTAAAGTCATAACATTTATTAATCACCATCTGCAGCACTTTAAGCTCACAGCTAAACTAGCAAACACTGCATTCACAGCAGCCTGCAAACCAAAACAGTCATGTGTCAGTCTGTTTCAGAGACTTTTAATCTGAAGAACCAAAATCCAGAAAAACAAACTTTTACTTTGAAAGTTTTGTTTTTTCCTATTTAAAAAACAAACAAACAAAGATTCTGGTGTTAAAAAAAAGCTGCTTCTGCTTTTCTTTGTCTTCCTGACTGTGCAGCTACGATGGGTGATGTAGATAAGTCGTCTCAGCTGTTTCCCACTCACTCATCTGAAGCCACAGAGGGGAAATATTCCTTATATGGACGTCTCGGCCACAGAAACCACGCCCCTGCTCTTCAAACCTGTTTGTGGGGCAAACTCAAACTGTTCGTTTCAGACAGATTATGAACTGAGCAGCTGCAGTGAGGTCCAGTGGAAGTATAAGAAGGCTTATTTTAAACCGTCACTCATGCAAAGCTGCTGTAGTTGAGCAAAATCAATTTATCTGTTAAAACTCAAATGATCCTGACTTCAGAAATTATTTGTCCGTTTATTCTTGTACATGTTGATCTGCTGCTATCCAGGATGTGTTTGTGGGTCATGTGATAGTGGAGTGACGAATCAGGGAAGCAGTGCAGTGACTCGAAAGACCCAGTCAGGCAGCGATTGCTGGGCTCAGCGTCGTCATTTTCATAAATATCAGACAGTCAAATAATGAGCTCACAGCTCTGAGGCTACGCAAATGTGCCCAGCGAGTCAGAGCAGCCCAGGTCAGGCAGAGCCCTGCAGGCTCACGGCCGTCTGCACTGCTCAATATCAGGCAGCTGGTTTTAATGTTGTGGCCGAACACTTTGGTTTTACATCCTTTGACAGTGCTGATGATCTAGGATTAGCTGTAAGTGTAGCAGCAGAGCTACACGCTGGATTTCATCACCGTGTGAAAGTGCTGGTCGCAGGGTGTCGGGTTCAATGTGAGGCGTGCACAGAAAGCGTGAGCTTTGTGTGTTGAACGTACCGATGCGTCGTATTTCAAGCCTCGGCCGAAGTCCCCGTCCTCGCCCTCCTCCATGCTCTCACACTGGAACAGGCAGGCATCTGCAGGAGACACGAGTCCACACACGTGAGAGAAAACAAAACCAGCTTCAACCACGCACGCACCGCGATGGTGTCAACTCTGCTTCTCCCATCATGCTTTCCTCACACCTCTGAGTTTGAAGCCACATGCTGTCAGAGCAGCACTCTAAAAATCTGCATGTGATCTTTACTTTTTATGAATCCTCCAGATCTCTGCATTTGTGACAGAAGGACAGCAGCAGGTTTAAAGATGGAGGTGAGACCTGCTGTGATGGTTTGGAGACGGGAGGCGGAGCTGAAGTGTGAGCAGATGG